CAACACCAGCACACTAGTCCAACAACATTTAGCAGACATATTACTTTCAAGTTTAGAAAAATTGAACTTTATAGCAGTTAGTACCCACCATATCCATAAAGTATGAGGAGCTCGTTTTTTACGAGGGATTTTATGGTGATAAATATTGACAAAGATCGAAAAAGCGATTGCATGTTAACTCATCAAGAGTTAATCCACTGGATAAAATTGAATTTTATCCAACAGGTCAGACCTATCTTTTCTTTGATCGATTGATCAAGAAGTTCGGCTGTTACAGAAAACTATGGGTATCTTTTTTCACTAAATTACGGAGAAATTTCAAACTGGAAAGTCGACTGAACTATGTTAATTGTGCGATGAATATGTTCACTAAATTTCTCCAATGCCTTTGCAAATGCGCTTTTGCTTTATTTTAATAAAAATTTAAATAAAATAAAAAGTCCACCATTTGGTCCGTAAAATTCGTCACCGATATGGGCGATTGTCCACCAAACAGGGGATAAATGTCCATTCGGTGGGATGTGCTCAACCTGTTACATAACCTCAAATGTCCATGCATCCAAAGCCCCGGTAATGCAACCACACAAGAAAATGTATGGTAATAATAGGCAATAAAGTCCTTTATTATGATTGAAGACCTTCATGAAGAGTAAATCATAAACATGTATAGTATATGAAAATTACATGCCTACAATAAATAAGGCTGATCTTTGGTATTTAAAAACCAACATTCTAGTACATAAGAAATACGAGGGTTGTCCTAAAACGTCGTAGACGATGTCTATAACTTTTTAAACATGCAAAAAATACTAACCAAATTTTGCATAGACATCATACAACTAATGTTCTTTAAAATTGTAGATTTTTAAATATACATTTTTCATATTAATAATATTAGGGCGGTTTAAATGATGGCCGAAAAGGTCTGTCGGCGCACGGAAAAAAATTGGAATAATTTACGCGTATAACTATTTCATTTGCTTTTATTGCTTTACTACTATGTAAAACATTGAACTAAAAATTAAATCAAGGAAATCAGAATCAAAATTTTAATAATATGTCAAAATTTCTACAAATAGCATTGTAAACAGACGATTGGTGTCATGATTTTCAAAGTGTTGTTGGAATTAAGTTTGATGAAAATGACGTCGTCAAATGCGTAACATGTAACAAGAGGAACTAAACTGTTTACGACTTTTTGGGACAACCCTCATGAAGTGTCTATTTTTTTTAAAAAGCATGATGGTTATAGAACACTATGAATCATATATCCTTGAAATTGCAATAGTTAAACTCTTTTTCAACTATTATATATGTACAAAGTTAGATCTTGAAAGCTATACTTTTACATGAATTAATTAGTTAATTTTAAAGGCTAAAGACTACTTAATGTGCTTAAGTTCTGAATCCATATATATTTTTTCTCTTTATTTGTAGAAAGATGTTTCCAAGCTTATAAAAAAAGCAGATAATATCCAGGTAAAGGATTTATCAAAACCTGCCAGAGATGAACTCTTACTTGTGAAAGACCAGCTGCAGACTTTTTTGGCTGGAATGAAGCACAAGGGGTAAAGTCAAATAAACAGCAGTGCATGGAATGGTTACCTTAAGTCTGATGTAGTTCTTAAATTATTTCAAAAAGGGATCCAATATTGATGTTTTTTAAAGATATAATTATATACACGTACTAGTATATTATGAATAAAGTCCAAATATTATTTGAATACAAAGGTGGTGGAAAACATGAATATTGATGAAGCCCAATAGCAAATGAATATTAAGTATATAGTGGAGTTCTTTCAGTTGGTATTTTCCAATCAACTTTATGGATGGCTTGCATGCAGATATACCTAAAGTTATGAGCATGTGTCCAACCAAGACAGAGGAAGACGTCAGAAATCTCAATAAAAGAATAGAGGGTTACGGACAGAAAGTGAGTGAATGATGAACATTGTACTATGTATATCATTGCCATTGAAAATAAAGAGGAACACTGTTATCAAAATTTTTCAAGAAACTTTTTTTACAAAATGACAAAATGGACCTAATTAATGCTTGGCCTTTAAGGTATCAGTCTTTCACTTAAAGGTACTTGGACACAGATTTGAAGTTAATATTTTCTCATTTTTTTCTGTATAATACAGTAAAACACGGTTATAGCGAAGCCCTCGGGACCTGTTAATTTAATTCGCTATATCCGTAATTCGTTATATCCGTATATCGAATTCGTATAACCATATATAGCGAATTGGCAATATGTATGTTTTCCTTCAAGTGTTACTATCAAATATGTTAGGGAAGCAAATATTACAAAACATATCTTCGATAACTAAGGTTTTATTATGAATTGAATTTTATATACAAATGCTGAGAGAAAATAAAGTCAGTTCAATTATTCAAAATTTGAAATCTTTGAAAGTTCGTTATAAAAGATGTAAAATTCATTATATTTAACCTCAACAGGACTCAAAATCAGTTCGCTATATCCGTAAATTCGTTATATCAGAGTTCGTTATAACCGTAAAATTTTACAAAGATTTGTTAAGAATTTTGCCGGGGACCCAGATAAACTACGTTATATCCGTGAATTCGCTATATCCGTGTTCGTACTAAACGTGTTTTACTGTATCACGAATTATATATTTTAATAGCATTTCACACAAAAATTAATTAAAAATCTTATTTCATTTAAAAGTTATTAAAATTTTAAAATTTTGGCGGGTTTGATTGACACATCCTTGCACTTTCACAAATTTTAACTTTATTCTTAAACCTTAGGAAAAGTGGCAATTTTGATGTGTTTTAATGAGAAATATTAAAACTTTTTATCAAGAAAAATAATTTTATTCAGAGTAGAAATGTCAGAAAGCAAAACACCTTCACAAGTATCGTCATTCGGAACTAAGAGATGCGTACAGAGTTTAGCAAATCGAGCACACTCGTGTTATGTACACAGTTTTTGTAAACAGGGCTCGAGTTCTGTTATTGTTTATATTCAGAATTCACCGGGTGCGTTCAATCGTCACAGTCTGCTTACCACAACTGCACGGACTGACAATATATTGTGTGTTTGTTTTGCTTTCGAACGTGTCTACTCTGAATTTTCTGGATTATAGTATTAATATTTTTCATTTATACAAAACGAGATTGCCACTTTTTCTAAGGATTAACAATAAAATTTAATTTGTGAGAGTGCAAGGATATGTCAATCAAACCCGCCGAAAAATTTGAAATTTCAATATCTTTTAAACGAAATAAGATTTTTAATTAATTTTTGTGTGAAATGCTATAAAAATATATAAGTCGTAATATTATAGAGAAAATGATAACTTCAAATCTGTGTCCAAGTACCTTTAAACATGTATGATCGATATGAACTAAACTTTGTGTTATGACTTTGCAGAGGTATATTTCTTTAAGCCTTTTGTAGTTGTATCATTCACCTATTATGGGGAAAATGTTTTTTTTCTCTTAGGCAAGGTCTTGTGTACAGATATTAAAGGAGGGAGTGAAAAATGGATATGTTTTCCATCTTCTCTCAATAGTAAGCTATATAAATTCCTCAATCTCAATCTTTCAATGTGCTATGAGGTTATAAATAAGCACTGATTGGTCAACCTACAATGTTCCAGTTAAGTTAATATTCATATAGAGACTATTCATATATCAGGTTAAAAATGATTTCAAGCTATCAAAAGGTACTTTTAGTTGCAGTTGAGTGGGATATACCAGTATTTAAGATCGACAAAAGAACAAACAAATATGATAACAAAGTTGAATAAACCATTTATTTCATTTTGATTTACTCAGTGGTTAATTACATGTATTTTATGTTATTAAATTTAGGAAGGTGTGCCAGATCAGATTTATAATATGATCAATGTTCAGCTTAGCCCAGAAAGCGATGTTTTTCTTTCTCCATACAAAGAGTTCCCCGAAGGATCCATAGAAACTTCTATAAAGTAAGAAAAATATATGTTTTTAGAAAACCTCATTGTTTCAAGGGGTCCCGACCCTCTGCTATAAATTTCACTTTAGAAAATTTTTAATTTGTAAGATTGATTTTCATAAACAACAATATCATTAGAGCCACATGGAAAATAGTTTGAAGTATGAAGCGCTGCTTATTTTGTCAGAAATGATTTTTATGTCAGATCATGATTTGAAGAAATTGAACGCAGAGAACAGAAAGAGTAACGATTTGTTATCACAACATTAAATTTAAAATATGAGGTGCATATGAAAATAATGCTTATAATAATACCTATAAAAATTATGTGAGAAAACATCATGAAGCGATGCTTCTTAAGTCAGAAAATCACAATGCTGTATGTGATTCTAAGAAAAAAATTTATCTGTGAGGAGGGGTTATCTTTCTTCTAAATATTTCTTCATGTGAAAAAACGTCATACTAATAAAAATACAGCATTAAGTACTTGAAACATTAAACCATTTATAAAATGATCCTTAAAAAGATACAACTTATTCAATTTATAAGACTTTCGAAGTTGGATTGAAATGTTTTATTGTTAAATATAATAAGACAATTACAAAGAAATATTGGCAAAAGAAATAGAAAGTTATGTTTCCATCACATGTTAGATTTCATCGAATTGACTCCTCAGAGATCTCAATTAGGAAACTCTGATTAAGAAAACTGTGAGTAGTATTCATATTTTGTACTTTGAAAGTTATCTGCCTTATCAGATGGTCGGTACCCCTTAAAATTCATATGACTGAGAATAATCCTGAAGATTGCAAAATTGATTTGAATTATAACCTATACCAGCTTCCTAAACTACTGCATAAAAATTCTTTCAAAGATACTTTGCATGTCCCAGTAAATGTTCAGACAAACCTCTTTCTTTAATCCTCACGAAATATTAACGGAATGAGAAGTATTGTACAACAATATATTTTAGAAGTGGTCTTCAACAATAAACAGATACTAGTATAAATACTTAAAAAGTTAAAACATGAAGAAATTTTCAGAAAATTTTAAAATGCAAAAGTTTTGTCACAGTCAATAACATCAAAACTTAACCTTTTCAACACTATAAATGTGACGACCATCTTTAAAATCACAAACTTCCCTTACTCATGTAGTAATATAACATCATATGCAAATGAGGTTTATATAGAATGGTATGGAGATAACGAACAGTATTCAATATCAAAGTCTATAAAACAAAACAAAATAAGAGCAGAGCAAGCAAACACGGACCTCCTAAACATCAGAGGTGCAAGGGATCAGGTGCTATGGAGGAGTGAACATCCCCCGTTAACTGGTTATACCCGCCGTGTGCTCCTTGTCATGAATAGGAAATAACGGAAAAATCCGTCGTCAATTCAGTGTATAAATAATGCACAAAATGGACTAACAATTTGTATGGAAAACATCCGTCAGCATTTGACTCAATGATAAATTGTATTTGCTGACAAGGTCATTGTATCGACCATAAAACGTATACGAAATGATGACTTTAAATGAGACTGCTGATATTCTTGTTTTTATCAATTTGCTTGTCAATAATTTACCTCGTTTTAGAAATTGTTCATACGTAGAGCAAGCTCTTGCGTATCGAATCAACTGAGGTATATACACTCCATATGCAGGTGATGAAGGTATATTGCTGCATAAGTAAGGGAAGTTGACGATAGAATAGTTAAAATCATCACGTTTATCAAAAAGCTTGGTTGTTAGATTGCTGTTAACGTATATTTTTTCAAGTAAAATATCCAAGTATGAAACAGATATGTCAGACTCTGTAGTATCTTTTATCTCAAGTTCACCAGGATATATCATATCGACGTAGGAATTGAAATTACCATTGAAATTGACAATACGTCCTTGATATATCTTAATGTCGAGTTGAAGGTCACAACAAGGTTTTCTTCTTTTCACGCATAAGATTTTGCACAAATTCTGCTTCATAAGAATATAATAATAGGTCCACTAAAAACGGAGCGCAATTGGTACCTATGGAAATTAGATTGCTACAATACCTGGTCTACAAAAACTGCATAGATATTGTCAATCAGAAACTCAAGTATCTTTTTGATGTCAACTTCAGTGTACTTGTGTGTGCAATCAGAAGGTGTTTTAACAAAATAAATTTGCAAATGACCAATGACCAGGTAAGTAAATTTACGAGTTCCATTTATATTAAAAAAGCAGCTGTCAATGTTATCAAAATACCTAGACTTTAATTTATCGTGGGGAATGGTTGTATATAAAGTTATAAAGTTGAAAAGTCGTAAGGTTTTTAGGTGTTGATTTTGAAAAAATCTTGTGATTTCAAATTGTCCAAAAGTTCTTTGTAAATTTTTAGTATCCACATCTGATTCACACCACTTCTTGAATATATTTCATTCATTACTGTCAATATCTTAGTGAGGAGTAACGAAAGAGACTTGGTTGAACGTTTACTGGAACCCGCAATGTATCTTTGTTTGTAAGGATCTTTATGAAGTTTTGGAATCCAATATATATAGGGTAGTTCAAATTATTTTTGGCTCTGCGGAATATTAAAAATATTTATGTTCCCCAAACGAAGTTGGGGAACATATTGTTTTTACTCTGTTTCTTATTATTATGTTCCCCAAACGAAGTTTGGGAACATATTGTTTTTACTCTGTTTCTTATTATTATGTTCCCCAAACGGAGTTTGGGAACATATTGTTTTTAGTCGGTTTCTTATTATTAAGGTCTTCCGTCTCCAACGGAAGACCTTCTTGTTATTCTTCGGTTTCTTTTTCCCTATTATTATTATTATTATTATTATTATTATTATTCTTACCGATTTTGTGCACGCGATTTCTCGAAAACTACTGGACCGATTCTCATGAAACTTTCACATCTGATAGGTACTGATCTGAACCTTATTGGAAATTTTTTTCGTCAATGACGTCACTTCCGGTCGTGAGATATGGACAATTTTCTGATTTTAAAATGCAATTTTGTCTTGATTTAGTAGCGAAAACTGCTTTAGATATGAACTGAAGATTAATTGGAGATGATAGTTCATGACTTATAGCGTTGCACAAACGCCTTTTCGTGCGACGTCAGTACTTCCGGTCGAAACCGGAAGCGAATTTAAAAAACGTAATTTTTCAACTTTTCTTTTTTAATATTTTTGTTTTAGAATTGAATAGAGACCCTTTTGCAGAAGCCAAATATGTAATTTGTTTGAAAATCGAAAAAGCCAATCTCGAGATATTTGCATTTGAAAACGCGAAGCGGCGATCCCGATGGCCGAATGGTTAGCGCGTTGGATTGTCACGCGGGCGACCCGGGTTCGATCCCCCGTGTGACCAAAAAATTTTATCACTTTTTCTGCTCGATTTTTCGATTTTTATTAATTTTAGACCATTTGCAACAACATATTTTCAACTTTTAAGTATATCGTACGTAATAAGGGGTCACAAGGGGCCAGAATGCTAAATCTTTGACGCTTCATATCTTGAAAAGAGGGAATATTTTGATAAGCAATATTGAACAAAAGATGGTCAGAATAATATTCTAAACAATATGCATACTTTGAATTTTTGTAAAATGGCCCTATTAAGGACTTGTAGGGGTGGCCCCTTAATATTTCCATTCAGCATATCTTCCAAACGAAAAGAAATCTCTGAATAGTTGTTGAACAAAAAGTCTTTGAAATCACAAGACCTTTCATTTGATATCAAGAAAAAGGGGCTGACCCCTCAAATAAGGGGCTCAGAGGGGCCAAAAGTCTTTCATCTTTAACTCTTAAATGATCAATATTTGTGACACAGTATAGAAGCAAAAGTATTCATCTTAACAATTTGCAACAATATAGGATAAAATTTTGATCATGTGTTACGTAATTAGGGGTCACAAGGGGCCAGAATGTCAGATCTTTGACGCTTTATATCTCAAAAAGGGGGAATATTTTGATAAGCAATATTGAACCAAAGTTGGTCAGAATAATGTTCTCAACAATATGCATACTTTGAATTTTTTGTAAAATGGCTCCATTAAGGACTTGTAGGGATGGCCCCTAAATATTTATATGAATCATATCTCCACAATGAAAAGAAATCTCTGAATAGGTGTTGAACAAAAAGTCTTTGAAATCACAAGACCTTTCATTTGATATCAAGAAAAAGGGGCTGACCCCTCAAATTAGGGGCTCAGAGGGGCCAAAAGTCTTTCATCTTTAACTCTTAAATGATCAATATTTTGTGATACATTATAGAAGCAAAAGTATTCATCTTAACAATATGCAACAATATATGATAGAATTTGGATCATATGTTACGTCATTAGGGGTAACAAAGGGCCAGAATGCTAAATATTTGACGATTCATATCTTGAAAATGGGGAATATTTTGATAAGCAATATTGAACAAAAGATGGTCAGAATAATATTCTAAACAATATGCATACATTGAATTTTTGAAAAATGGCCCCATTAAGGACTTGTAGGGGTGGCCCCTAAATATCAATATGAAGCATATCTCCACAACGAAAATAAATCTCTGAATAGGTGTTGAACAAAAAGTCTTTGAAATTACAAGACCTTTCATTTGATATCAAGACAAGAGGCCCATGGGCCACATCGCTCACCTGAGTAACTTGGGTGATGCAGATCGTTACCAAATTCCCCCTCTTGCTATACCTATCATGCCAAACAACCCCTTTCCTTTTTTATTTTAAAAATTTAGAATCTACACTTCTCAAGGATGCTTCCACATAAGTTTCAGCTTTCCTGGCCCAGTGATTCTTGAGAAGAAGATTTTTAAAGATTTGTTCCATATATTTCTATGTAAAGCTTGGATTCCCCATTGTAGCCCCGCCCTACCCCCGGGGGTCATGGTTTTAACAATTTAATATCTACACTACCCAAGGATGCTTCCACATAAGTTTCAGCTTTCCTGGACCAGTGGTTCTTGAAAAGAAGATTTTAAAAGTTTTGTTCTATATATTTCTATGTAA